ATATAAAATAATGATTAATATAGCTATAACACGTCACAGCCAAGGCAGTGTCGAGTGGAGGAGGGTGTGGCAATCACTTCCTTCAATGGGCTTGGTAGGCCATGGCGTAAGAAATACGTGTTCCAATAAAGAAGAAAAATAGCAGAAAAATACACCAAAAATTAGGGTGGGAAGAAAGATGGTAAAAAGAGAATATAGTGCATAGAACCTTGAGTAAAAAAATGAATGTCACTCACTGCTTATGTTAAATAGGGAAAATTTATTTATATCAAATGGCAGGCGTTTGATGGTTATCATTAACCCTTTAGTTGACTTCAGGCTTCACCGAGGGGAAGTAACATCAAATTGAAAAAAGTCGATGGGGGGGAATGAGGAAGAGTGTTTCAAAGATGTAAAAGAGACAGACACAAAGGTAGAGAAAAGGTGGGATGAGTACAGTGGAAGTAGTCGAATATGACATACAGTGGGGTGATGGTAGTTTGAAATCAAAAGTCAACTGCCGGTTAATAGACTTTTGCCGTATGAACATTCGTTGCCCAGAGTGCACCACGTGGAGGTAAGTCTATCGCGCACCCCTAAATGGGGAAAATTTAATGGTTCCCAAAGCGTGAGACTTCGAAAATGAGCGCGAATGGAGATTCACAAAAATGTCAAAAGTCACCTTCGCATATGACAACAACCTCAGAAGGAACAGTCCGAAAAGTGGACTGCTCTTCGAAAAAAGAATTCAGGCGGAAAAGAGATCGATTGGCCATTGCCAATATGACCTTCAAAAAGATGCACCACAAATAAGACCGCAGCAAGTCAAATCTAATAAACGAGAAGCAATGGATGTGCGCTTTGAAGATAAATCCAAATTTGAAAGCTACAAGACCCTTTCCTCTTAGTTGAACCCATGATGCAATCTATTAACAATGATAATAATGGAACTTGCTGAATGAGACAGAAATTCTATGCCTGAAAAAAAATGTAAAGACAGATGGTTAACGATATAAAAAAGATTCTATAGCCAGCGCAAAAGCAAATTGCTCGAATCAAGGGCACCACTCACGTTTTGTCGAATTTAATAAATCTAAAATAATAAAAATTACACAAATTCGCGGACCAATTGCACTTTCCATTTCCAATGAATTTGATTATATTTCACAAACATATTATACAAATTTTAATTGAACAGAAAAAAAACCAACAACAACAACAACAGGAGAACTTACATGCGCACCGCCTTGTAGTTTGAGGAGGTACTTAATAGCTTGCTGAATGCGTGCCAAATCGAGGGCAATTTTACGTTTCAGGAAAATGAAGGAGGCCAATTGCATAGCCCATCCAATTCCGGGCAATTTAGCCAGATCCTCCTTAAGGACAATCTTGAGGTGGCGCACATATCGGCCAAGAGAAAAGGCGAAAATCCAATCGAGACGAGTTCGATGATTGAGAATGAGGATACTAGATGCTCCACTGGGAGGTGGTGGGCTGCCGTTCTCTGTAGTGCAGTCTGTATTGTCGGCATTTTCGGAAGAGGCAACTGCAGGCATGACAAAACTGTCTCCAAAGAGTCGAACCTGTATCCGAAGCACGCCATTAAGAAGTACCTAAAGTTGCGCAACAACAACACAAAAAAGGCACAGGAATAATAATCAATTTAGCTAGCAGCAATTAATGCAGACAAGTAATTAGCATAATAAAAATTGATAGCACATTCAGCAGAGAATTAGTTGCTTCGTTAAAAGAGCTAATAGCATGGGAATCACCTCGCTTAGCATGCACCATAAACGAACTCCGCAGTCCATGAGGAGAAGAAATAGTGAGGGAGCGAAAAAGGCAAAGGGAAGAAACGGGCCCATCATGAAGAGGGAACCGAAGAAACCCGTCAAAACAAGCATCAGGAAACAGAGCACACATCGCACCCTCTGCCGCTTAGTAACAGGATATACCGGGGACCCGAGCTGGGGTGTCAATTCCTCCTCCACCTCTGTCTAGACAAAGCAAACAATTGCAACAAAGCGTCTTCTTGAGGCAAATTTAAGTTAGGGGTTATTTTTACTAAAATGGCTTTAAAAGTGTTGATATTTTCAAATAGTTTTTATTTCTAATGAACAAATTGATAGGAGGGAGAGGGGGGGGGGGAGGGAGTCTACTTCGAGGGTTTAAGGACAGGAGCACAATCGAATTTCCCCCGAACAATTTTGTGCTTAACACCAATAAGATCTTGGCATCGACCACCTCGTACGAGGACAATGTTGTGCTCCTGAAGGTTATGTCCTTCGCCAGGAACATAGGCGACAACCTCTCGTCCGTTGCTAAGTCGTACTTTCACGCATCTTCGGTTGGCACTGTTAGGCTTCTTGGGCTTTCTGATGAGAGTCTTAAGAACAAAACCCTAAAAAAACAAAATAAACGCGTGAATATAGCAAGTAAAATTCAAACATGGGCTTCCAAAAAGGTATCTGCATATTATAGTTTCAAATAGGAAGCTGCATGGCTCCAGAATATTCACCAATTTAAGCGACGATAGATACCAAAATTCTGCAAAGTTGGTGGAAGCAAAAGTAAAAATTTATTTATTTCAAATGGGAAGCGTTTTGATAGTTATCATTAGCCTTTTAGCTGACTTCGGGCATCACAGAGAGGAGAAGGAACATCAAAGTGGGAAAATGTTGAGAGAGGGAGAGGGGGGGGGACAGAATAATGATTCACAGACGGACAGACACAAAGGTAGAGAAAAGGTAAGATGAGTACTGTTAAAGTGGTCGAATATGACATATAGTGGGGTCATGGTGGTTTGTAGTCAGAAGTCAACTGCCGGTTTATAGACATTTTTTCGTATGAGTACATGTTGCCCTGTGCCCCACGTGGAGGTAAGTCTATCGCACACCCCCAAAGTAAAAATAGAACCAAATGGGACTTAAAAACTGACAGAAATTAAAAAAAAACGGAAAGAACAATGCTTAACAAGTGATAATGTAAATTTCTTATGGCGTTAGG